TTTTTATTTATCAGTACGAAATAAAACAGGGTGCAAAAGCAGCCCTTGCAGTTTCTTACCGGTTCCTTTCTTACAGTTTCTTCTTTTCTCGGTACAAGGTTTCCCGTAATAGATTGCCGAACTATAAGCTTTCGTTTCGACTTTCTTATATGCTTGTAACTAGTAAGCCAACTTGTCTATAAATTTATTCAATAAATTGTTTTGACTGAATAAATTTCGCTTACTCCTCATTAAATGAGATGTTCTGAACTAAAATTGTGACACAGTACGCACCTGAACATCTTGTTTAGTAGTAAACATAGAAAACTTGAAACACCTACATAATCTTTGTATTATATTATTTGTAAAAGAACATAAAAATACTGTAAACTTTGATGAATAAACAAGAGAAAATAAAGAAAACAAAGTTGGTGATGAAAAAGTGATATAATTTATTAAAGAAGTAACAATTGGTATTTTATTTAAAAATTTGGTTAGCAAAAAGAAAACAGCCGATTAATCAATGGGCAAGCATACAAATATTTTCTCAGCACTGAAACAGTCTGCAATTCATGTTCTGTGAACAATCATGATAACGGTCAGCAATTTAAATACAAAAAGGTAGCGTATTTTATGATGCATCAGCAAAATAAACATCCACGCCGCAAAATAATTATTTGGGTATTAAGATTATACTATTGAACAGCAAAGAAAACCTTTAATTTGATAAGTGTGCATATTTTAATTTTTATTAAAATTATTTAACTCATTTTATTGTATATTTTACTGGGAGTATATTATGATCAGAATTTTATATTTTAATATTATTATAAATATTATTATATATTGCATTCTGATTTTTTTCAATTAAAATAGTCGTCATATGACCGCAAGACTAAAAATAAGGTACATTTATAGAATAACAAAATGACTATATAAAAAACTAAATAAATAAATCAGTAAAATCAAATGAAAATTAACTAAGTGTAATAGACATTTTTTTTTAATTAAGTTAAAAGCAATTGTCAAAAATTCTTACCAGAGTATTTGATTGGCAATGCATCATCTCGTAATTTTATTATATTTAAAGTTCGATTCAAACAACTTTCCCTAAAATGAAGTGAGCAGATAAAAGTAACTTTTTCATTACATTTAATATTTTCTGCTTCAATGTAACTCGGCCATTTTCTCTTTGTTTCATCTTTTGGTAATCTAAAATAATTAATATAGTTTTAAATATTAAAATTATCGATATAAACCATATGTTAAAGTAACAACGCTAGCCATGTAAACAATATTTTTTACGGACCGAAATATTATAAAAATATAAACGAAAAGAGCAATATAGCATAAATAGAACACGCCAAAATACGATATGTATCGATTTATACACGCAATCATTTTCAGAATAACTTACTTACGTTTTAAATACTGTTATTCCAAGAAAGTGTTTAATTTACCGGTGAAACGTAATATTGCTCGGTTTGCGGGATATCGATGACGCACAACCAATTACACAGCACCTAGGCATTGTCTTGCATAAATAATTTACAATTTTCTGCCATGAAAGTTATATAAATTAAAGTTAAAAATGAAAATAACCACAAAACTTATAACACTGACAGCTGAACTACTTTCAAGAAAACGCACAGCAAATTTGCAAATGGCGGACAGGTGGTACGATAGCTATATCTCATGACGTCACGTAAAAAATTTTGAACTGTCACACTAGTGCGATCTTTGTTTACTAAAGAAACTTCTTATTAGTTAAAAAAAGACAACATGATGTTTTCGATGTCAACTTCAGATTGCATGATATTTATATAACCATAGAAAATATTTCCACTCTACCTTATCTCTATGGTATCTCCGTAATTTAATGATTACGAAAAAGAATACGTGTTTAATATTTTTAACATTCTACCCCAAGGTTCAATTATTAATTCCGACATTGTACCACTGTGCATGAACAATTAAATAAAAAAATATATTTGTTAGTTACGTGATTTGTCAAAAAGATTGACAACGAAACTAATCTATGTTTGAAATTAACAAATCGATTTAAAAAGTAGAAAACGGAAATGACGTATATTAAAACCAGAGACAAATAAAAACTTCACATTGTGTACCAAAGACAATAAATTAATGTCTAAGGATGTCCACATGCCATGAATTGAAATAATAATAAACTGATCAATATTTCAATTCATTAAAGAAGTAGTTACTAATTACCTTATTTTTTTAAATATTGCATAACAGCTACTAGATTTGAAATCTATTATGAATATGAATAATACTTAGACTATTAATTATTTTACCATATATCGAATACATGAAATCATAAATTTTACATTAATATTTTATATTAAAACGGTATTCTCTCGTGTCCATATTAATAATTAGTACAAAATAAAGATTTTATAGAGATTCATTTATAGATATCAGAGATTCAGATAAGTAAGAAATTGTACTAAGTGGGGAAGAGGAAATAAAACTTATTGAGTACATATTTCTTATATTGTTTTTAAATTATTAAGTTTGGCTTAAAAAAAAGTTTTGTATGCATTAATAATGAAAGGTTTATAAAATCATTTAACTTTTGTAGAGCCTTCTCGCTTTCACCTAAAGAAGCTAAGATTGCAGAGAGTAGTTAAGAATACATAATTTTGTGAGTTTGAAATCGATAACAACTTTAACACCTTAACGTTAACTTATTTTTAATTTGAGTTGTTTAAGTAGTCAATCAATTTCCGATTGTTCGGATTTGATAGGGTGTCATCAAACAGATTGTCATCAATAGAAGAATAGTTAAAAAAACTTTTATTAAAATATGAAATAAATCGAAAACCAGCTTTCTTGAACTAATACTTAGTGTTGAATTTGTTTGCTTTCAGGCTTGATTGCATCCTATGCCAATTGATAAGTGTTATAATAAGCGTCATATTAAGAGTGAAACCATAATACATATTAAACAGGTTTTTGATTGTATTATCTACTGAGAATATAGCGCACCGTACTATTATAATAAATGAAATTTAATCAAACATCTTTAAGTATATTATTAATAATAAGACATAAAAGAACATATCAAGTCAGCAATTTTATTTCGAAGTCATAATATTTTATAAAGATAGTAAATTATATCTTTGAACACATTTAACCGAGGCTCTACTGCTTAACTCTGATTGATCGGAAACCCCAAATGATCTTTCAGGCTGAGTGATCAATTCAAGAGTATATTATAGAAATGCGAGTGGCAGCAGACGATTCGCATTTAGTCTAAAATTTGATAGGCCAATCACAGCTAAATTTACGTGGTAGAGTTGCTGTATAACATAACATTTTTCACATTAATATAAATGAACCTATAATTAAACAAATATAACAAATATTGGAAAGAGTTTATTAAAACGTTAACGCATAATAATATAACTACACAAAGTATAAAAGTTTAAGAATAATTTCATATATAATTTTTCAATATAGTAACTTTGTATTGTATAAGTAACTTTAAACTACAATTGGTAATGTGAAGGAAACTGAATTTTTAAAATAAATATGCACAAAATAATATGCATTCATTAATTTTGCGAATAATTTAATTCAATTAATTTTTGACAGTCTAATGCTTTAGCAGCCCTATTTCTAGAATAGGCAGCTGGCAATACGGCAATATGGCTGTAGCTTCCGAGTTTCGCTGGTAGTGCGCGGTGCTCGCATCGTTTTCAACACCGTAGTATTTCCGACGGTTTCAAAGTTTCACTTTTTATTTTTTTAGTGATTAACGTAACTTTTTAACGTGTTTTATCATTGATTTGTATCGGGAAATCACCAGTTTTTCATTTCCATCGTCACCATATTCATGCGACGACAAAATGGCGTCGCTTGACAAGATTTTCCTGCGAAATAATTTTTCAAATTTTGTTGGGATACAGTAATGATACTGACAAAATTATTGCATAAAATGGTTTTTCTAACTTTTTCCCGATAAAATATATTTTTTTTTGCGATTTTTTCTTGCTCATTCTTCATGAAATAGTGTATTCCTTAAATATACCACAAAATGCTCCAGGTAAGTGTTTTTATGCTTAGTTTACTATTGTTTTGGTGTTTTTGTTTACTTCGCCGTGTTTTTGAACCATATAATATTTGCAGAATTATCTAGACTTGCTGGGTGTGGTCGTGGAAAAGCTAAAATATTTGAGACGTAATACTGAATTTCGGTGTTTCTGCGATTGTTTACAACATAAATTCGTAATTTTATGTATGAAAATAGGTTTGTCCCACGATTAAAACATTTTAAAACGTTTCTTGGTTACGTAATCTTTCTATAGAGGTCATGAAAATGTTTTTCTGAAAGGGACCCATTTTCGCAATTTAGCTTTGAAAATGACTCTAAGCAGTAAGGGTACATGATGTTGAGGTTATGTAGCTGATTTTTTAACAATGGCTAATTAAATATGTTACTTCTGGTGTGAATTAGAAGTCAGTTTCTGCTCATTGCAAAGACACAAAGATTTGTCATATTTTTGGTCAATTTATAGCCAATTTTGGTAAAAAAGACTTGGTATTGTTTAGGTTATACTTTTATGTCATTTTCTATTATTTTAAACTTACTATATTTCAATTAATTTTGTGATTTCTAGCATATTCATTAAGAGAAAAAAATAATATACTCCTGAAACAAAAATCAATGTTGTTTCTTTTAAATGGGAATGTCTATAAACACTAAAATTTTGGCATTTCTATTTGAGTGGTTGTTACATCCTTAACAGAGTACTTTTAAATTATCAACATTAATTGTTGTGGTTATAAATTAACCTTAATAAATTAACCTGTATGTGTTATTGAAACTATATATTTTTGTGTAAAATTAATGTATTGTATCTATGTATGGTTCAATTTCAAATGTCCGCCGAAGGTGAATGTAGGAATAATTACCACACTAGTATTTTGCATGAAACAAAATATTTATGGTTTTTAGAAAATTTTACATCTTTTGCATAAATCTTACTTGTTTTTGTTTTAGAAAGAACATATGAATGAATCTGGAAGTGAGTCTGCTAGTGAAAAGGGCAATTCAAGTGGTTCTGGTTCAGGTAGTGAAAGGTAAACTTACAAATTGATTAAGAATAAAATTGACGATTTCTAAATTTATGAAGCATTTTAATATGAAATTGTATTTTTACAGTGACAGTGGATCTAGTTCTTCAGGATCCGGGTCTGGTGGCAGGTCAGGGTCTGAAAAATCTTATGTAGCCGACAGGTCACATCATAGCGATGACACGAAATCTTCACCAAAACATAGCAATGCCAATTCTTCCAAATCTGACCATCACAGTGACAAAGATACCTCAGATGATGATGATTCACCATCGAAGCCGCATTCTAGGACTAGTCATGGTAGAGTTAAGTCAGACCTGTGGGAAGATAATCCAGATATCTACGGAATTCGGAGATCTGGTAGATCCAGGAAAGAACCAGATAGACTTAAACTTGCAGACAGCGATTCCAGTGAAAGAGGAAAATCACAACATAGGAAAAGCAGAAAGAAAAGGTAGTCATCATTTTTTAATTATTTAAAAGGCAAATTCCAGATATCTATAAAATTTTAACTGCTTTCTTCAGTGATTCTTGGAATTCCAACACATCAGACAGCGATAGTGATATGAATGGTTCCCCACCTCCGCCTTCAAAACGACCAGGCCAAAGAAGTGTACCTCTCCGAAAAAAGAAACCAGCAAGAAGAAGACGATTCTCAAGTGAAGAAGATGAGTCTACAGAAGCTTCAGATGAAGATACTCGGAGGTATTTACATTATTCATTATAATTTGGTTCTTTATCCTCTTGCAAACATCTTTGCAACAATATGGTTATCTTTTGCCCCACACATACTCAACAGCTTAATATGTAGATTTTTTTTACTATATTTTGTGAATTCTAATTTATTTGTCTATTCTAAACTATAGTCGAACAGCAACAAGGCGTACGGGTGCAGCTGTTAGTTATAAAGAAGCTAGTGATGAACAAACTGATTCTTCTGACCTTTTGGAAGTGGAAGGTGGGGAAGGGGAAGTTGAACCAGAACCTGAAGATCATAGTGAAACTATTGAGAAAGTTCTAGGACACCGGAGAGGAAAAAAAGGAGGTATTAGTTGTTTCTCAAATTCATTCTGTAATATATAGACAATAGAGAAATAAAATTTAATAAAATCCTGTTATATATTACTTGTCTAATGTCTAATTTAATCTACCGTTTAGTTTGCATTTTGGTGCAAATGTATATTGAATTTTAGCTAATGTCTTCTTATCATTATGCAGTCACTGGGAATGTGACTACCATTTATTATATAGAAGAAAATGGAGATCTTAATGAAGGGTGCAATCCAGACGATGATGAAGCCACGGAACCACAGTACCTGATTAAATGGAAAGGTTGGTCACACATACACAACACTTGGGAGTCTGAAGCATCTCTCAATGAACAAAAAGTTAAAGGACTTAAGAAATTAGAGAATTTCATTAAGAAGGAAGCTGAGCTGTCATGGTGGAGATCACAGGCGGGGCCTGAAGACATTGATTACTTTGAGTGTCAATCTGAATTACAGCAAGAATTAGTTAAAACATACAATAATGTGGAAAGAATTATAGGTAAATAGATATTTATTACTTTTTCATTACTCTTTAATTAATAAATATAAATATAAGTATGTGAAATATATGTATGTATGTCAACATAATACAAGTCGATATTTTGTAATATTATTATTTTTCTAGTAACACTTAGCAAATTAATCTTATACATAAGATAATATTTTGAACCATTTTTAAGGGTCTCACACTAATAAGGATGAAAGGAACCTTTATGTAATTATTTGGTCATCTGTCTGTCTGCTTATTACTGATTTTCAGATTTCTTATGCTGCTGATTTGATTTGAAACTTTTTAGGGCAAAAAATTTGAATATGAATATATCTGTATGAATATATCTGTATAAATAGTTCTGTATATATAGATAACATGAAAAGGTTTTAAAAATAAGTTGTGGGAGAGCAATATTAACAAGAGATGAAACGGTTATCCGGTATCTCGTTCATCCAGTTGCCGTATTTCTATCCGGTGGACACCGGATAACGTGCGATTATCCGGCTGGGCACTGGGTTTAATAAGTAATAAGAGATTGATTTGGAATATCACCATAAACTCAATTACTATATTAATCATAAGTAAACACAGCTGAACTCATGCATCTTCATTATTTCGATTTAAACAAAAAAAAAAACAAGGAAAGTCAGAATAAACAGAAATTTATACAAAAATATAAAAAATTGTAATAGTCCGCTAGATCGTATGTATGTCACTTACACAAGTTTGTTTCATAAAACGTGTATCCACATCGGGTGACCGCCGGATATCCGGTTTTTCGGTAACAATGTTGACTGGATGTCTGGTATCCGGCCAACAACTATCCATTTCATCCCTTACATTAACCTGAATTTACAAAGCCATAGTTTTAACGTTTGTGTTTATCTTATATTTTTTTTTGTAAGAATTTTATTGACTTTTTACACTGGAATGGACATTCAACCAAATATTCAATTAACAATTACTATTATCGGAAGAAGTGAGTAAAATGTAATTTATTGTATTTTGAATTCACTCAAATGCTTTGTGTGATAGATAATGACGACTTGAAATGTAAGCATTATGAAAGAACCATTTTTGTGATACATTTTTTTGTAAAAGAATTGGATATTATGAGAAAAGTGCATTTTCAGTAAGAATTAATTCAAACCAGGTCATATAATGCAATTTTTTACAGGGAGCTTTTTATTTTATTTGTAGGTTAGGCATCATATTCGTTTGAGATATGATTACTTGAAATTTTTGTATATGAATGTTAAGGAGACTATTAACATGGGTGTACCTTAATGTAAGTAGCATTAAACTAATAGTACATTTATATTTTTCAGCTGAACAAACTAGGGAATTAGAAACTGGGGCAACAGCACATGAATATTTTTGCAAGTGGGAATCATTACCTTATGCTGATGCAACATGGGAAGATTCTTCGTTAATAGAGAGAAGGTGGCCTACAGAAGTAGAACATTTTAAACATAGAGAAGCTGCTAAGACAACTCCATCTAGGCATTGTCCTGTTCTCAGAAGAAGACCAAAGTTCCACCCAGTTAAAGAACAACCTGAATATATGGGAAAAGATGAGGTAAGCATTATTTTTATGAGATTACATTTTATTTTTGATTTAAGTATAATGAAAGTTCAAGAATAAATAATTATATACATTGTGCAAAATGTAATAATCATTAAAATCAAGTTATTGGTATAGCTTTACCAATTATTGGGTTAAATTTGTTATTGGTAAATTATATAGTGTAAAATGGCGTCTTGTCGGTAATGCTACCGCCATCTGTTGATGCATCGTTGAACTACTTTGTTACCATTTGCTTGCTTTATTTAGTTAGTAGTTCTCAGTGACATTTGTTTGCTATATGAAGGATAACACAAAGACATCACAAATAGTATGGCAATCACTGTAAAATTTGTACTTTATGAGAGAAATCAAAATATAGATGATTTCTCGACTTTACTACATGTAACTTGGCAAGCGATATTTAATAATAATTTAAATATTAAGTATTTAGGTGAACACAGTTACAGTGTAAGATCAGTAACTTATACAAACAATATTTCCGATAATATTACTTTATACTCTATTTAACAATAAACCTGGAAACATTTAATTTCAATAGTTTATTGTTATTATTATAAAATCTACACTATTAATTTAGTGTCTGATAGCACACAAGTTTTAAACATTCAGAATAATATTCTTTAGGGTGTTTTAAGTCAGAGAATTAAAAATTATTCTACCTAATGTATCAAAGGTCTTACTGGAAGACTTCTTTAATACCAATGAAATCTTTGAATTTAATATGTGTTGATTAGATATTTTTTTGCTAGAAAGTTAATGTTGTTGCTTTCCTACTGACACCGTTCATACAACTACATATGATGCATTATCAGATAAAAATAAATGCATCAAATATATTTTTTCATCATGCCTTACAATTTGTAAGTTACAAGTCTCTTAGTCTTTTTACAGCTTGCGCTAGTATTACATTACAAAATATTGCAGTAATACTTTTTGAAATAAAAGTCAATTGTTTGACTAGTAACAAACAAAATTTTCATTGAGAATACAAGAGATTTAGAAATTATGTTTTATCTTGTTTGCCATAATTCAAATGATATAAATAAGCTCTTAATATTTATTTACATTTTAAATAAATATTATGAGCTTATATTCGGCATTGTTATACTTGTGTTAAGTCTTGTATTAGGCTACTTTTATCAGAAAACATTGAAGAGTATCATTTTGATTTCAGACTTACTTTTTGAGAGATTACCAAATGGATGGTTTGAACTGGTTAATACATTCCTGGTGTAAAGATAACTCTGTTATTCTTGCTGATGAGATGGGTTTAGGAAAGACAATACAGGTAAATTATTACTAGTATTTGAAATTATTATACTTGTTTTAATGATTCTTGTATTAATATTTTTAATTTTTTGCAGACCATATGTTTCTTATACTATCTCTTTAAATCACAACAACTTTACGGACCATTCCTTTGTGTTGTGCCATTGAGTACAATGACTGCCTGGCAGAGAGAATTTCAGCAGTGGGCTCCTGATATAAACGTCGTTACATACATTGGCGATGTAATAAGTAGAGATATTGTAAGTATAACATTAATAGAAAGTCTATTTGTATCCATCCAGTTTTTTGTTTCTAAATCTTGGCTTGTACTTTCAGATTCGGCAGTTTGAGTGGAGCTTTGCTAGTTCCAAGAGATTGAAATTCAATGCTATTTTGACAACATATGAAATTTTACTCAAAGATAGACAATTTCTCAGGTCATTTAGTTGGGCGTGCTTATTAGTAGATGAAGCACACAGGTTAAAAAATGATGACTCCTTATTATACAAAGCTCTTAAAGAATTTGATACAAATCATAGACTGCTGGTAACTGGTACCCCTTTACAAAATTCTTTGAAAGAGTTATGGGCCCTTTTACATTTCATAATGCCTTATAAGTAAGTCAAAACAATTTGTTTTACTTAATGTATTTTTATTCATTTTTAACTATGTCTATATCTTATTATGTTTGTTTTATTTATGTTTTACTAAAATATTAGATTCGAGACCTGGGAAGATTTTGAAAAGGATCATGAAGATGCTGCTACTAAGGGATATGAAAAATTACATAAACAATTAGAACCTTTTATATTGAGACGGCAAAAAAAAGATGTAGAAAAGTCATTACCTGCAAAAGTTGAGCAAATATTGAGGGTAGAAATGACGTCAATACAAAAGCAGTACTATAAATGGATATTAACAAAAAACTACAGTGCTTTGCGTAAAGGGGTCAAAGGTTCCATTAATACTTTTATAAACATTGTGATAGAATTAAAGAAATGCTGTAACCATGCACTTTTGACAAAGCCAGAAGATTTTGAATCCAGAGCATCCTTAGCAACAACTGATGCTGTGGAGGTAATTCATTAATTTATTTTTATGACATGAGAAACAAAATATTTCTTTTCCCTAATTTAGTATTTTATTTACATTTCAGAAACTTCTAAGAGGCTCAGGAAAATTACTCTTGTTAGATAAGCTTCTTTGTAGACTGAAAGAAACTGGCCACAGAGTTCTCATTTTCTCACAGATGGTCAGGATGTTAGATATATTGGCAGAATATTTGCAAAGAAGACATTTTCCATTTCAACGTCTTGATGGTAGCATAAAAGGTGAACTGAGAAAGCAGGCTTTAGATCATTTTAATGCCGAAGGTTCACAAGATTTCTGCTTTTTACTCTCAACGAGAGCTGGTGGCCTGGGAATAAACTTGGCTACGGCAGATACAGTCATTATTTTTGATTCTGACTGGAATCCACAGAATGATTTACAAGCTCAAGCTCGCGCACACAGAATAGGCCAAAAAAATCAGGCAAGTTCTTTGTAACACTTGAGATTAATTGTAGACTCAAGATAATGTTTCTTATAAGGCGCATTCATATTGTTTTAACAGGTCAACATTTACCGGCTCGTTACTGCAAGATCCGTTGAGGAGGATATAGTAGAAAGAGCTAAAAGAAAGATGGTTTTAGATCATCTCGTCATACAACGAATGGATACCACAGGGAGAACAGTACTCAATAAAAGGGAATCATCTGCAACTACGGCAAATAACCCATTCAATAAAGAAGATTTGAATGCAATTTTGAAATTTGGTGCTGAAGAATTGTTTAAAGATGATGATGAAAATGATGAGGATCCTGTCGTAAGTTTTTGTATATCATCTGGTGATACTAATTGATCGGTAGACTTGTAGAATAGTGCTAGCATATCTAGCAAGAGTTGAAGGCGGTGGACGAATTTTTTTTACACCTTGCAAATGAATGATATGTATATGTGTTGGTTCATGTTTTCATATAAACGTTTTTAAAATTAATCTCTTTTGGTTCATTCGGAGCGTTACGTTCTATTATTTTGCGTTTACATTAACAGTTTATTCTTTTGTTGTAGTGTGATATTGATGAAATTTTGCAACGTGCAGAAACGCGTGATGAAGGTCCTACTATGGCCGGAGATGAGTTGTTGTCTGCTTTTAAAGTTGCTAGTTTTGCCTTTGATGAAGACAAAGCAGTAATGGAAGTAAAAAAAGAAAATGCTGAAGAAGAGAGTAAAGATTGGGTAAGTTTACTTTGAATGGTAAATACTTTTTATGAATTATTATTTATTTGTCTTGAAATAATAGCACAATTTATATTTTAGGACGACATCATTCCTGAAAATGTCCGCAAAACTATTGCAGAAGAAGAAAAGAACAAAGAAATGGAAGATTTGTACTTACCACCTAGAAGAAAGCAATTACAACAAAGTGCAGATGCAAGTAAGTAAACCAGTATCTCCAATGTTACTCCAACAGACTAACAGGCAGTTGCACAAACGTCCATTAAAATTGACATTATTTTAAAGCGACATTACCCATACAAATTTGACATTTATTAGAGCTTAAAAGCGTCATTAAACCTTAATGGACGTTTGTGCAACTGACCGTAAGGATGTTTATATGTCGTCCTAATTCTTATCTATAATTATACAGAAGGGCTAGTCTTCTCATGGGTATATAACAAAAATTTCGTAAATCTAAATTAAAAAATATTTTATCGCCGATGTTCATCTGGTAAAATTTATGATTATATAATTAATATAATTCAATTTAAAACTAAAGATTCAATTTTTATATTGGATCGAATTAAAACTATTAAGTACTAGCTTTCTCCAGTGGCTACGCCTGCGTTGTCCCCAGGGAAATGTTTAGTGGGATAAAAAGTATCCAATTATCTAAGTCAGCTAACACATCTGTATAACAAATTTGATCAAAATCCGTTCAGTAGTTTTGGCGTGATTGACAGACAAACATCCAAACAAAGCAACTTTCACATTTATACTATTTATAGAAATCGCCAGTATTCTTAAGGTTGTTATCGCAAAAATTCACATTATTTCTCAAGTTTCTTTACTTTTGGCCCACCCCAAATCCCCTGTAGGTGAGGGAGCAAGAAGTAAGCTAATAACTTAAAAGGGCCGGATATCATCATTTATAATCTACACAAATTGATAATGCGCTTGGCCTCCATTTTTGACGTGATTGTTTTCAACAATCAGTACAGTTAAGAAATAAACACTGGTTGACAAATACACTTAATGAGGTTGTGTTAAGATCACATCAAATTATTGTTATATTTTCGATAGTTATTGATCAAGTTATCTTGTGACTTGTTATGATTGACTGCTATTATGATTTCCATAATAAGTAAACCTAATATCAGTTAAAATAAATACTTTGAGGTCTCTCATTTCATAATTACTTTTGCTGATGTTGTATAAAATTGATATTTCCTTACATCGCGTCATTATAAAACAAATACTTTTTGTATTCTATATACCTTTATATTAACATATAAATTAATCTTTTTCAAAAATTCATGCACTAAATTATAAAACTAAAAGTTATTAAATAATTATAACAATATTTTGAGGATTATTCATAAATAAATCGATAATTAATAAATAATTTATCTTCTGCGTTTTGTGCTTTCTATACTATTTTCAAATGACGTCACGCAGGTATTATTTAGACAAGGTTCCAGCGCATTAGCAATTTGCGGGACTCATATGTATACATATAAGTGCTTCGTCTTTTAAGTTCAATGTTTATGTAGAAGGTGGTCGCAAACGACGCGGCCGCGGTTCAGGCGATGGTGCAGACGGTGCGGACGGTGAAGGTGACGCAGAAAGTGACGCGTCTGATGGAGACGCCAGTGCGGATGACGACCGACCAAGGAAACGAGGTCGCCCGCCCGCCTCACACAGGGAGAAAATAAAGGGCTTCACTGACCAGGAGGTATGGACAGTTCCATGATTGTAAATATTAATCTCAAAAATATATATAAATATCTGTGTTCTGTATATAATTTTAATCCTGAAGTCCAGACAGGCAGATGAGATCCAGACCCTTGAAATGCATCTCCAGATTAAGCCATAAATTTTAAAATATAGTGCTGGGCACTCAGTCTGTTTATGGAAGTTGTTTTAAATGGTCTGTCATTAGTTAGCTATTTATTATTATTTCCAGGTCCTACATCCTTAGTTCTAGGTCATTGTTTCAGCTTGCGTTTGCAGTTTTCAACAGCTGTCAATCCTCACAGGTTATGTTAAACAATTGTATATTTTTTTTGTAATAGATACGCAAATTTGTCAAGAGTTATAAGAAGTTTTCTGCGCCTTTGAAACATCTGGATAGTATAGCGTGTGACGCAGAATTGCAAGAAAAACCATTGGCAGAGTTAAAAAAACTAGGAGAGATTTTAGAAGAAAGATGTAAGGCTGTGCTCAACGAGACTGCTGATAAAACTAGTAAGTATTGACTTTCTGTTTTGTCCGTCGAAAAATTAGTTTTGGTTTGTGAAAAATATATAAAAAGTATAAATTCATTCTATAATTATTACAGATGAACAAAATGATGGTCGTAAAAATGCGAGGAAGAGTTTTAAGCTTGGTGGTGTACCTGTTAATGCTAAGACTTTGTCAGCCTGTTTAGATGAATTAGCACCTTTAGACGACTTCTTGCCACAAACCAAAGAAGATAGGTTAAAATGGCAATTAGATTTCAGGTAATCACTCATTATATTATATTACAGGACAATTAGTTCAGGTGTAGGTTTAAATACACCTTATTATGTGTAATATTAACTTTTAGTTTTCCAATTTTACAGAACGAGGCCCGCTAATTTTGATTGTGAATGGGGTGTTGTTGATGATTCTAAATTACTAGCTGGTATTTATCAATATGGAATGGGTTCCTGGGAGGCCATCAAAATGGACTCTTCTTTTGAAATAGGCGATAAAATATTAACAAATGAAGAAAAGAAACCTCAAGCCAAGCATTTGCAATCAAGAGCAGAATATTTGTTAAAATTAATTAAAAAGTTACTAGATCAGAAGAATGGGAAACAAAAACAAAGGAAGCCACGGGTGAAACGTGGTAATAAAGAACCAGTTACAAAAGATATTGTTGAAGATGATATTAGCTCAGGAGATGAGAATAAAAAATCCAATAATAAACAAACTCTTAAAAATGACAATAAGGTAAATTTTACCTTCATGTATCTAGCTACACTTATTACCTATATTTATCATGGGTAAGGATTTTTTTATATATTTTGTCTTTTCAGAGCAAATTAAAACTGGATGATATATCGACGCACGATGAGACTTCAAATGATAGAAAAGAAAATCTCAAGAAACGAACAAGGAAAGATGGTAAAGATCGCAGCAAATCTGATAAAGTGAAAGGTCGAAAAAAACCTGCTGGGCCAATGCATTTCACTGCAAATAACGAACCACGGGCACTTGAGGTTCTAGGTGACTTGGACCCATCTGTTTTTGAAGAGGTAACTTAATTTCGAAGAAATGACAACTTTTAAATTATAGTCTGTATTTGTTGTGCATTGTATATGTATTCTATGTTCTTGCAGTGTAAAGAAAAGATGAGACCAGTTAAGAAAGCTCTTAGAGCACTTGATAATCCTGACCAGACATTATCCGAATCTGAGCAGGTCACAAGAACTCGAACATGTCTCACACAGATAGGGACTCAAATAGATATTTGTTTGGAGGCATATCCAGATCCTGAGAAGAAAGTAGAATGGAGAAGTAATCTCTGGTATTTTGTATCAAAATTCACCAATTTTGATGCGAAACAATTGTATAAATTATATAAATATGGACTGAAAAAAAGTGACACCAAACAGAAAGGTGGAAAACATAAAGAAAATGCTAAGGTAAATATCAAGAAATGTTACAAAATAAATGTAAAAGAAATGTAACTGCAATTATATTGTCTCTAATTAATATGGTTGCTTCTTTTCAGGCAAATAATAAAAATAATCATAATTCTAATAATCATGTAAAAGCTAACAAAAAGGATAACAAACATGAAGACATGAGTGAAGATAAAAAGAAGGAAAAGAAACCTAAACTCGAAAAAGATAGATTAGATAATAAAACAAGTGATAAGATTCCAAATACATCGGGAGTAAAACGTAAATTAGAAGAAGGAGAATGTGACCCAGAGCCGAGCGAAAACAAACGTCATGAAAGGTAAAGAAATTGTCTGGGCTTGTTTTTCTTTCAAAGTAACATATTCATGAACATTATTTACATCAATAGGAACTATTTAAAGTATCACATTTTAGACGTTTAGAGCCATCAAAGAGTATGATTGCATATATTGTGGAAATGTGATGCTTTAGAAGCTCAATTAGTTTAAAGCTATTTGGCTGTCCTGCAATTTCATTCACTTCATATCTAACATTGTCCATCAATCCATTGGCTCGCCTGCTTTTTTCATTGTCGCTAACTCCTCATTTTTGCTCACTATTGTGTCGCTTCCATCTCAGCAGACATAAACACAAACACAAGGATCGTAAGGATAAAGACAGCGGCCTCAAGCAGGACGATTTGATGTACAGAGAACGGACTCGATCAGATCGTGACCGCGAACGTGACCGTGACCGAGATCGGGACCGCGACCGTGACCGAGATCGAGACCGGGAACGGGTTCGCGAACGGTCTCGAACGCGACGTGACAGCGGCGGCGTGGGCCCGCAGCGAGTACGTGCGCCGTATACTATGCCGCATGCGAACGCGCTGCATCCGGAACATCCCGCGCATCCTGCGTGGACACCTCCCGCTTACCCTGGTCCAAGGCAATACCGGGGTGACCGCAATACGCGACCACATGATAAGAGAAGGTAGGCATTAATAATTTTAATTTGTTTCATGAATAGGGATGACGACTGGGCAAAAAAAAAACTACTTAGTCTGTCAGTCAGATAATAGAGAATTTTTTTTTGCTTCAATTTAAACAAGAAATGGCGACGTCTCTGTTAAGTAGAAAATTTAGAAAAGTGGGACGTCATGTGACATTTCAACTCAATATATCACATTAATTAATTAATTGTACAAACAAACAAAAATCTGTCATCATCCCTATTTCAACATTTTGATAGTAACATTGTACTCTTTCTTTCAATTATTGTTTCGATATTAGCTAATCAGAATATTATGAAAGGTTTAATAGTATGACAGAATAGCGTGACAGGTCGACAATTTGATTTTCGGTCTCTGTTGTAACAATTCAGTAATGGCTTATAAAATGTGATTTAAAATTGTTTTATATGTTTTTAGCACAGACGAAATTTCGAAATAAAGATCGCATTTTTATCCTTATATATTCGCAGCGAGTTCATGTTTTCCCGTAGATATAAATTTAGAATTATTAGCCACACTTTTAAACGACTTCACCTCATAAGAAGGAGATCATCAATTCGAGGTGTATGTATGTAATTTCGTTGGAATGGCGTAATATTTAAATATGTTGGTCTGTGTAGGCTTCTAAACACGTGTACAAATTTTATAGATTGTTGTCCACGGATATCACGCAGACTAAACGTCGGATTACAATGATTATTTAATTACTAGGGGTACACTAAGTTTTATCAAAAACGCGGTACAGTAGTTTTGAACATATATACAAATATAGTTTAAAGCGATATTACCCATAGAAATTTGACATTCATTTAGCCCGTTGCACAAACGTCCATTAAAATTATCACTAGTTTAAGGCGACATTACCCATTCCAATCTGACATTTATTAGATCTTAAAGGCGTCATAAAGCCATAATTGACGTATGTGCAACTGAGCGATTATAGCTTAAAGGTGTCATTAAACCTTAATGAGCGTTTGTGCAACTGTCCTTTAACCTATTAAAATTTAAGCTACTTATTAAAGGAGGATTAAATTTACCGTCTTATAAAGGAGTTAAATTGTTGAAACAGGTATAAGTTATGAATTGGCGAAAAACTCATGTGCCTTCCCTTAGTCATAATAACAATATGAAGTAGTATGCGAAATCTATGACTCATAACTAAAATGGTTCTATTAATCGACTGCGCGACGCAAAGAAGGGTAATGTTTTTATCAGTCTGTATGTATGTTTGTTTCTATGTGGCGTTCTAGAGACCAAATGCGTAGGCCGATTTTGATGATTCTTACGTCAATCGATTGTCGTAACTAACCTTTCGTATCGTTTTCATTCCTTAGATTCATATCACTAACTTTGCTCATATCGATAAACTTTTTAGTGATTTCCATTTATATTCTTTACATTCTACATTCTATAACAATGTACCACCTGTAACCATTAAAATTCTGTAATATAAACTTGTCCAAACCTCTACGAACTTTCATCCTATGTTTTTTACTACTTACACTAATGTGAACCTTTACCTGTAACTTTCATAGTTTTTCGTTATACATTTTACGAATTCTAATCATATTAAAGCACTTATTTATATATTATTACACAATTTATCGCTAATTTTAATTGTATTGACAGATTTGACATGAAAGTTTTTCTTCGTTGCTATGGTTATATTTGATACTCTTCATGAAAATTGACTCATTGTTTGTCGGTTTTGGCATTGAAACTCTGTTTTTATATAATAGTTTTTGAATTTTTAGGGTTCTAATTTGAAATCATTTACTTCCAAATTTGAGTTCGTCTTCAGGTATATAAAGCCTCGCCCAAATAGTTCTTCATCACTTCAACGGCAACAGTTGCTCAAGTTAGCTTTTTAGAGCTCGTACAGAGCTAGCTAAATTCTTAAAAGGCCTATTTCCCGGGGCCGACTGCCCCGGGAACTCTTCAAAGTTACGGTCTCAAAGTCACTAAATTATTTAATTTAATTTATGATCTTTTATTTTTTTTTTTATTTTTTGTTTCATAACACGATTCGTCTAAACCTTGCGAGTGTCACTAAAGTCTTGACAGTAATCAAAATTCACCACAGCGACAACCAGACGCCATATTATCAAAATGAAAAAAAAAAAACGACTATGTCGTTGTGTGGTGTTGTTGAATAGGTATTTTAAAATTATCTTTAGGTTCCTTTTATCACTTTTCATTTTAAATAACAGTTTAGGATATAATACGATTTAAAGTTGTATAACAAAACAATCATATTCGCTAATTTTCTTACATATTGGTTTAAGTTTTTATTTAAAGTATAAACGATATACAAACAAAAAAAGTATAAAATAAAAATAAATAATTTAAAGAAAAACAAAAAACCCGACTGCGTAAAATTTAAAAAAATACATGAAAAAATTAACTTAAATAAAAACTGTTAAATTTAGTATTACTTAACAGAATTCTAAACTACTGGGCTTGTTTTTTTCTTTTTAGATTTTATTTAAGTTAATTTTTTCATGTAGTTTTTCAGTACGCAGTCGGGTTTTTTGTTTTTCTTTAATTTAAAATGAGTTTAGAGAAATAAAGTTTGAAGTGAGTAATTAATTAGTTGGATACGGGCAAATTTATTAAACACTATCAACAGCCTAGACAGCTAGACATTCTATTATCCGCAATAAAGAGATACGATTGAAAAGAGCGAAATAATACCATAAATTTTTATCTTCAATAAAATCGAAACACAAAAAGTGGATACACGATTGATTACAAAATCAATTGGAACTGTATCATAAAATGTTATTCGTTTTAATTTTTCAAGCTTCTACTATACGAAACTGCTTTGAAAGTGAAATGGCGCTAGGTTAATCCACTATCTGTTATTATTATATCAATAATTATTTTTGTCTGATAGAATTTGTATTGAGTTAATAGTGTATAATATAAATAAATTGAACCAATGAATCTAACAGCAGGTACGGGGGATTCGGAGCGATGGCGGGTCCTTATGGAGGCTACTATGAAAGTGCAGCGATGGTTAGCGGGATGGGATTCCCGCCAGTGCGCACGTACCCTGAGGAGTGGCGAGGCTATGGCCAGTCTGACTATCAATATGATGAACGAGACTACGAGCGCGAGGTTTATAGGAGAGACTATGATAGACGTGCTCCCCCCACCTAAACTCTTAGAAGCGTAAGGCTTCGTTGTAAATATTTGTAATTTAATTGTAAATAATCTCTAGGATATCTCTTTCCGTGGGCGCTGGTCTTACTAAGAAAGTGTAAGTGACAAAATAGTGCTGTGTTTTTATCTATGTGATAAGCGAAGCGCATCGATTCAAATATGTAGTGACTGTGTTTTACAAGTGAGACTGTATAGAAATTTATTTATTACCAAATCTGTCGATTGATTGTTAGTGTACAGATTTTAGACCATACCATTAATTTTTATATTGTTTCAATTTTGTTGCCTATTTTACTGGTTCTAAATAATATTTTTTTTTATCTGTAATCTGTATTTCTATTTATTTGATGCCTCTTATCGATTTATACAATTTACCCAAATGTAATTGACAGAAACACAGGTGATATATATAATAGTTCATAGTAAATGTACAAAAAATTAATAGCAATTGTTAGTAGGTTTGCATATAATTTGAAATCATGTGCAATTTCAAAAATTGTGTATAGCTTTAACAAGGGGCACATAAATTGTCATTGCATTTTGGCAGTGGAATGGAAAGAGCGTTTTGATTTGTGCATTAATTTCTCATTCTATATGCATTTCCGAGTCATACCAGGGCTCGCACAGTCCTATTTTTATACATTATGTAAAGTCTTATTCTCTGTTACATGCGATTAAAATGTAATAAGGGATCGTCTTAAATGGTGTAAGCCATAATAATAAACGTATTAAAGTTGACTATGGACTATTTTTGAACTCCCCATATGACACAATTGATTTCGCAGAAATAGGGTAAACTCACCAGTAACGCTATATAGTAAATCTGTAATGCTGATAGTTTTTATGAGTAACTTGTAGTAACTTCTGTTGCTTTAAGGTTATGGCTATAGCATAATATTCAGTATTAACATAGCGTTCACATATTACACAAAATTACAGCTTGTGTGTAAAATACAATAACCACTGATATTGTAAAATTAATTTAAATAAGAAAACTTGCTTTTTCAGTAGATAAAGGGTCTAATTGTCTAAATTTAAAATCTATCTCAATCCTTTTCAATTTGATATTTGAAAGATATTCACGAACTTCACGTTACAACTGTTTGACACGTGACAGGAGGGGTTGCGACCTTTTTTGAAAAATATTGACCGATATTGTTATATAAAATTGTCTAAGCAAAGTAATAAATTGAGATGTCAAATGAAAGAGTCGGATGCTAATTTCAATCTTTCAACAGGTTTAAGATTTTATTATGTTTCTTGATTATTCAAATGATCATTGGTTCCAAAAGCGAATTGCGACTTTAAAAGTTACATAATCCCAAAATGGCTATAACTTTGAAAGGGATTCCGATACATTTCAAAATGAGGCAATTAGCCTTCGTCACGTAATTTAGAAACTGGTTTATGAAACGACTCATCAAGTTGAGCAATTTTAACTATCAAAAAATGCGGGGAAATCAATAATTTCGAGCAACTGAAGTACCAATTGTACCGTACTGTAAGTGACCTTTGTTTACCCTACATAAACTGTTACATAGCCTGGTCAGGGATGCTTAGACCGTAAGGGTGATTTCCTCGAAAAGGTAACATGGTTATTATGTGGGGGGATAACAAACGGCTACATTAATAGATACCACATGATGACTATTTTGTTAAAAAAATAACGATGTCAATCTTAGTGGTGGGGTAGGTAGCGGGTGAGGTAACTGCGGCGACGCCCAGTATAATATTGTAATCTTGGGCGACGCTATTGGTCAGTACAAGGATACGTATTCCGTAGTGATGGAAATCCATATCTTAATGCGTTAAAAGCATATCGATAATTGATCGATATTAAATGTCATAAAAATATATTTTATTAAGTTTATTTTTATATAATTTACAATTTATAGCGTTATATACTAATTGCTGGAGAAGGTTTCTAACGGCAAGGTTTCAGTGAGCGCGTACGCCTAAAATAACTACTATTTTCAATCGGTCGGTGAAAATTATTCTCAAAATCGATTTTTTTAGAAAGAAATACGTTTCAATGAAAAATGGGTATAATGGATATTCAATGACAACTGAAACGTGAATTTTGAACACTGATAAAAAAAAATTAAAATTCCCCAAAAATCACCATTTTTGTATTTCTTGTAGCACAGGTTTACCTGCTACACCTTTTAAATACGCTGAGACACAAAACATACATAAAAATGTAAGTATTGCGCCACTGCGCTCATATAAAAATATTAAGTTAAATATTCAAAAAGTGTTAATTTTACTGATCTAATCAACGAACAAGTATTAAAATAGAATGAAAATTATTAATTAAAACTAAAATACATATTTTCTGAAATGTCTTCAAATCAAGAGTGAATAGGCTGTTACTAGGTTAATACGCTATACCACCCAAGGCTTCATCACCACTTACCATTAGGTGGGATCGTAGTCAAGCGTTAACCTATAAAGTATATAAAAAAAAAATATCTTAAATTAGGTAGCTATATTGACAAATATTGGTTATAAACCTCGAGAGTCCTTTCGCGTTCTAATTTGTACACTGATTGTGAGTACAAATTTTTCCTGTAACAGTAATAATGCCAATCATGCGTACATGTTTATGTCATGTATGGAAATATGGATATCTATCAAACCTAGAAAAAGCATGCAGTAGCGATACTAGTGTTAAACGTGTCATTGTACCAATGGAATGAATAGGTATCCTATAACATTTTAATGAGAGAAAGGGATGGGTTTATAGAAGACATAAGAGTGGGCGATACGAATCGTATATAGATATTGAAATGTATATTGTGGCAATATCGTAATATCTGATATCGATACGCACAGAAACTACACTCACAGGCACAATTGATCGCCCACCTGTACATTCATCACCCTTTTTGGTTCCGTCAAATATGGCTTATCAATTGTTTTTTAGTGAATAATCTAGCAATAAATAAAACACTTATACCATTATTTTCGTTGAAACCCTATATTGCTGCCGATGCGTTGCGTCGGATTCGGTATCTCTCGATATCCGTTATTTATACATATGGGATATGAAACCATATCGCATCGTAATAGAATGAAGAAGTATTTAAAAAAAAAACTAAAACAACACTTCCACTAGATGGCGACTTTAGCAAAAGTTGATTTTTACAGGAAACGAATAGACCAAAGACAGTCATATCCGTTCCTATTAACTAACATATTAAAAAACTGAAATTTGAAAAGTTCGAAACTTAGATATAAATACAATTAAGAAAAAGTGCAACTAGAATATGAGTTGTTTATTGAGTTTTGAAAACTAATTTACTTTTAAACATGAAAGAAAACCGGAAAGGTTGTCATGGAGAAATCAAGAACTTACCGTGGCGACATCTAGTTTGATTTCGGGAACTAATTTTTTTTTTAAATACTTCCTTCCCGTATTTATTACATTTCCCGTATTTATTACTACTCTTTGGTTGCCATCTAGTGGAGGTGCTTTTTTAGTGCTTTCGTTTTTTTTTTATAATACTTCCTCATTAATGTGTATTTTCGCGTGCTAAATTTAAATTTGCAAGTGTGAAGCTGATCCATTTGTTTTGCTACTTGTGATGGCTTGAAGTTACCGAACACAGTCGATTCACACATACTTATGTAGTTTAAAAAGATATTGTTTAAAAAAATATATAGGTAGTTTCATAATATATAGGTATATTTTCACAATCCAATATTGAATATCGAAATATAGTTTCGAATCGATATTATGGAAATCGAAATTATGTAAATCAGATTTACATAATAAGGTAATAGGGTAATATCAGATTTAAATTCTTAGCGGTGGCTAAGAAGACATCAACTCGTGTTGCATTTGTATAGTTAGGTACCTTTAATTGTGCACTATAACTTGAACGCCGCCAAATAAAAATCTAGATAAAATAAAATTTATCTTACTGGTGAACAGTTATACCATCTTTCTTGCAATTAGATGTTTTGGATTTGTTGACTACACAATTCCGTGACCGACCAACACCGGAGCTGGTCGTGCTCGTTCGTGTTGGTGGCAGCGTAAATCTAAATTTCATGGAACGGTCAAGCTATTGTGTATCATCATTACGCAGTATACAATATAAAGGGTACCTACAGTGAACAGCACAGACTAAACAAAAATGTCAAATTTATCTTAATTATGTCAAATTTTTATTAATTAAAATTTATATTATCAAATTTATTTTAAACCTTAATACATTATAAGATTCAAAATCGACAACTATGAAGTGAAGACATTATGATAGCCGTATGTATTATGGGCTTAGTATGCTGTTGAATCGGTGCAATGAGCATAGTACCTAGTTGTAGACAGTTCGTTTGCTTTTGTGCTTGACACGTTCATGGAATGGCATGGGGTAATGGAAATTTGCGGCTGGATCTTTCATTCATTTCATTTTCATTTTACATGTAAAAATTAATTTATTTACTTGACATTGGCAGAATTGTGCGAAATGCGCAGATAAGCCATTAAATAAAAAAGAAGAAGAAGAATGATTTTAATCCTGTAATGGAAATGGAAATGTATATATATCTCTTAAAATACCTGCCTACTTACTAGAATAATTACTTCCCGTTTTTCCAGACTGACAAATTTTTATCATAGAAATAATATTATAGTTATAAAGAAGAAAGATTTGGTTGTTTATTTGCTTCGAATAGGCTCCGAAAAATTCTTTCACTTACGGGAACTATCATATGCAGTGAACATAGGCTATATTTTATCCCGAAAAACAGCAAATAAAGGGCGGAAAATGGGAGTCGAAGTTTGTATAGGGAATTAAAACGTTACCAATCATTGTTTACTAATCAATATGTCACTGTTATTATTTCCGTGTCATGATATGAATCGATAATCAAATAATCAAAAGTTGACAATTTTAATTAATTAAAGAGTTTTTGAGCTGCCGCTTTGACGTCAACTCTGCAGAGTGTCACAAATTATTTATCTTCGAAACTACGTGACAACAAGTAAA